CTTACAGACGCCGACCTTAAGCTATCAACCAAGGCTGCCGACATGGTCGCCTTGTTACTGGGCCGCAGTGGGTGCTGGCGGCTGCTAGCGTTGTGCGGCAGTTTGGGTTGAAGATTTAGGTTTAGGGTTTAGGGTTTAGGGTTTAGTTTAGGGTAAGAAACCTCTAAGCAGAAGTCTGTGTGGGACATCCCTGCAAGTGTTGCGAATTCTTGCAAAGGCCTTAGTAAGTCCCACACACTGAAACCCAAGACCTTAAGCAATTCTTTTGGGGTTTAGGGTTTAGGGTTGCGGTTGAATGTTTCGGGCTTTGGGAGGCTTGGTGTCGCGTCCAAGAAAGGGTGAGAGAAAAGCAGAGCTAAGGAGAGAGGGAGGGGGATTTCGGATTAGGGTTTGGGCTTTGGGGGTTTAGGGTTTAGGGTTGGGATGTTCCTCCTTCTTTTCACAGACCTTGATAGGGATTATAGTACCCCCGATTAGAATCCCTATTGAGGACTGTTGTTATAAGGCGGAACATCCCAAGTTTTAGGGTCTAGGGTTGAAGTCCAACCCTTAGTTGAAAACAACCGACCACCCTAAACATAGGCCATCCTGGAGACACTTGTCGTTTTTGAGGGCTTAGGATTGGGGTTTCGGGTTCAGGGTTTAGGGTTAGGGTTTCGGGTTAGGGTTTCGGGTTTCGGGTTTAGGGTTTAGGGTTAGAACTCAGGGTTTAGGGTTTACATAGGGTTTAGGGTTTAGGGTTTAGGGTTTAGGGTTGGCACCCCAAACAGTCCCCAAATCCTGAGGAGCCGCGCAAACTTGTTCTTATAGATGGGGCCAGGCAAAACAGGACGCAACATGACGCAACATATGACATTTGGACGGGAAAACTCCTTTTACTGTCGTAATCTTAAAGCCCTAAATCTTACCCCCCCCCGCCCCCCCGTCCGCATAAGCCCTACACCGAAGTTCTAAACCGCCTAGCCCGCTTCAGCCCTGCAACCCTTACCCTTCTAGGTGCGGCTTTACTACAACTTTATCACTTCATAAGTTTTGGCTTCCTCCAATTTCATATTAAGGGAGCTAACAGTTAAACTTCTATTGGGGGGTTAAGAGACCCTAAACCCTAAACCCAAACCCTAAACCCTAAACCCCAAACCCCAAACCCTAAACCCTAAACCCTAAACCCTAAACCCTAAACCCTAAACCCTAAACCCTAAACCCTAAACCCTAAACCCTAAACCCTTCAGCTTTGCGCTCCGATCTTGGGGCCAAGGAAGTGCTCCGTGTTGCGATGGCTTGCCTCGCTAGGAAGCGTGGCTTACAACCTTGGGTGGCAGGGTTTAGGGTTTAGGGTTTAGGGTTTAGGGTTTAGGGTTTAGGGTCTAGAGGGTCACTGTTCTAGCATTCATTCCAGGCTCAGAAAAAAACCCACCCGCCCAAAGAATCCCATAACATTAAGAAAATAAACGTTTGTCATCTTCCCCAGAGTACCTGCCCAACTCGGACACGTTTTCCACTGAACCTTCCACCGACGAACAATAGGGTCAGATTAGGGGAGGGGACGGGGTGAGGATAGGGGGTGAGAGGGGGGGAGAGAGGGGAGGGGAGGGGGGGGGGGAGGGAGGGGGGGGAGGGGGGAGGGGGGAAGGGGGGGAGGGGGGGGAGGGGCCGAAATCGGCCGAACACTGGGGGGACCAGTGTTCGTGGCTTTTCGGCCAGGCCGAACACTGGGGGGACCAGTGTTCGTGGCTTTTCGGCCAGGCCGAAATCGGCCGAACACTGGGGGGACCAGTGTTCGTGGCTTTTCGGCCGTGGCCGAAATCGGCCGAACACTGGGGGGACCAGTGTTCGTGGCTTTTCGGCCAGGCCGAAATCGCCCGAACACTGGGGGGACCAGTGTTCGTGGCTTTTCGGCCGTGGCCGAAATCGGCCGAACACTGGGGGGACCAGTGTTCGTGGCTTTTCGGCCGTGGGGGGACCAGAAATCGGCCGAACACTGGGGGGACCAGTGTTCGTGGCTTTTCGGCCAGGCCGAAATCGGCCGAACACTGGGGGGACCAGTGTTCGTGGCTTTTCGGCCGTGGCCGAAATCGGCCGAACACTGGGGGGACCAGTGTTCGTGGCTTTTCGGCCGTGGCCGAAATCGGCCGAAGGTTTAAATATATATATATATATATAAGAAAGAGAGGGTTTAGGGTTTAGGGTTTAGGGTTTAGGGTCTAGGGTTTAGGGTTTAGGGTGTGGGGTTGCTGGGTTTAAGGGGCTCAGGGTTCTTTGGTTCGGATTGAGGGTTCCTTAACGTGCAGCAACCAGCCTTGAAGTTCGTGAAGCTCCTTGAAGTTCATGCCTTCAGGGGCCTTGGGCTGGTGTAATTGTTGAGTTGAGACTTTGAGGCTCTTTAGGGTTTAGGGTTTAGGGTTTATGGAGGGTTCAGGGCTGCAGGTTACTAGTTTGAAGGTTCCGGGTTCACTGTGAGGGCATAGGGTATGGCATGGTCCACGCGCTCCCACACGCCTAGCTGAGTGGGCCGTCCTTAGTTCGGAGCTGAGCCCGAGACCGAAACCTTAAACCCTGTTTAGTTCAGGTGAGGGTGGTATAGGATCTCATGATTACCCTAAACCCCAAACCCTGAACCCTAAGCCCTAAACCTGAAACCCTAAACCCTAAAGCCCTAACCCCTGAACCCATAGCCAGATCAAGGTTGCCAACACGTTTCTTGAACTTCTTGAGGAGCCGACCTAAACCCTAAACCCTAAACCCTAAACCCTAAACCCTAAACCCTAAACCCTAAACCCTAAACCCTAAACCCTAAACCCTAAACCCTAAACCCCAAACTCTAGGAGCCGACCCGCCAGCTTCCCTGGTGTACCTGCCCTCCTTGGTGGCCTCCGCCGGGCCCTCGAGGGCTGGTTTAGGGTTTAGGGCTAGGGTTTAGGGTTTAGGGTTTAGGGTTTTGGGTTTAGGGTTTAAGGTTTAGGGTTTAGGGTTTAGGGCTTAGGGTTTAGGGTTTAGGGTTTAGGGTGTAGGCTTTAGGGTTTAGTGTAGGCTCGAGGGTTTAGGGTTCAGGGTGTTAATCCGGCTGAGAGGAGCGCTTCACCTTTGGGGTCGTCTATATTTCTGCTCGCCCCCAGCACATAACCTAGGGGCCTTAATCATTAGAATGGGGTTTTTTGGGTTACTATAGTATATTCATAAAGGGGCCATAAGGGGAATACTATGTTTAATTATTCCGACCCCTATAGTATACAAAGGACACGTTTCTCGGCCTTCCCAGATCTCCGCCCATGTTCAGGAGTGAAGCAAAGCGTGCGAGTACACAAAAAGGGAAGTGGATTGGGACTGCTTTGAAGGTCGAACGCAGATAGTTCAATTTTCGATCCCCAAATCCGCCCTGAACCCTAAACCCTTTACTCTAAACCCTAAACCCCAAACCCCGAACCCTGAACCCTCCTTAAACCCTCGATAGCCCAAATCCTGAGCCCCAAACCTCAATTCCCAGTCTGTCGCTGCTCTGCCAATCCGAAACCCTGAGACCTCTTAAGCCTGGGGCTTAGAATCTAGGGCTCAGACCTCATTCCATTCTTTTAGGGCTTAGGTTCCCGTAGAAGCCCCTTGAAGCCAACAACCCTAAACCCTAAACCCTAAACCCTAAACCCTAAACCCTAAACCCTAAACCCTAAACCCTAAACCCTAAACCCTAAACCCTAAACCCTAAACCCTAAACCCTAAACCCCCCTTTTACCCAGGCTACTCCTGGGTCTAGGAATTCGTGGTTTTTGCTTGGTTCATAGTTCTTAAGCTGGTAGGTTTTGGAGGAATTCTAACATAAGCTAGTAGGTGTGAAGGATTTTAAGGGTAAGCTGGTCGGTTTCAAGGTTGAGTGTTTGGGGTTTGTCAGTGAGAACTAGTTGGGGTTTAGGGTTCGGGTGCTTACTGGTTTACAGTCTTGGGGCAGCCCGGCCTTCTCGTAGTGGGTTTAGGGTTTAGGGTTTAGGGTTTAGGGTTTAGGCTTTAGGGCTTGGGGTTACTGGGCTACCAAGCTCAGTTCTTAAGCTGGTAGGGTCTAAGGTTGAAGGCTTTGAGGTTGGGATGTTTCCCCTTATGCTAACAGTCCGTAATAGGGATTACAATAGGCGGTATACCTAAGCAACCCCTACGTCTCGCCTAAGGTCCCTTATAAGGGTCCCTCCTTTAGTCCCTAAACCCTAAACCCTAAACCCCAAAACCCTAAACCCTAAACCCTAAACCCTAAACCCTAAACCCTAAACCCTAAACCCTAAACCCTAAACCCTAAACCCTAAACCCTAAACCCTAAACCCTAAACCCTAAACGGTTAGGGTCGTTTAAGGTTCACCTTCCGTCGCGCCTGGGCGTTGCAGCTCTCGGGGGGAGGGGGGGGCTGCCAACAACCATCCCTTGGTAGCCCTAAGCCTCAGCCCCTAAACCCTAAACCCTAAACCCTAAACCCTAAACCCTAAACCCTAAACCCTAAACCCTAAACCCTAAACCCTAAACCCTAAACCCTAAACCCTAAACCCTCAACCCTAAACCTAAACCCTAAACCCTAAACCCCAAATCCTACTAAACCTGCCTAAGCCCCTAGCTCTTAGGTTGACTCTGGTTTGTAGGGCTTACCCCGCAACCCTGAAGCGCTAAACTCTTCAGAGCTTGGGGGTATTTGGGAGTACGGTTTGGGGTTTAAGGGTTTTTGGGATTGCGGTTTAGGGTTTAGGGTTTCGGGTTTAGGGATTAGGTTTCAGGTCCTCAGGTGAGTTCAGCTGCCCTTCAGACCGCATCTTTGGAAACATATCGGTGCTGATCCACATTGTGGGTTTGGGGTTTAGGGTTTCGGGTTTAGGGTTTAGGGTGAGGGGTTTAGGATTTCGGGTTTAGGGTTTAGGGGGGATATCAGGTGCCGAACTCCCTAATTCCCTAAGAGGCAGAACAAGGTTTGGGGTTCACAGAATTCATTGCAATGGCCTTTGCCTGCATGGGTCGCCAGCGCAGTCTAGAAAGAAATGTCTCCCCGAAGCCGGCGAAGAACCTTTCTTTTGCTGCTGCTTTTGCCTTTCCGGCAAGCGTGTGGCGGAGACGAGACTGACTCAGACATCATATTTCTGCCGCTTGGTAGCTGACTGGTGGGTTCCTGTTGTAACAACAACCCTTCCTAAACCCCACACGCTAAACCCAAACCCTAAATCCTAAACCCTACACCCTAAGCCCTAAACCCTGATCAGAACATAGCTATGACACGCAACCGAGGCCGACCTCCCAGCGGTTACGGCCCGGGGCGCGCCCCAACGTGGCAAGCTACTGTTGGTTGCGACAGGACCTGGACTTTTTCTACAAGTGCCTTGATGGGTTTCGGGTTTAGGGTTTAGGGTTTAGGGTCTAGGGTCTAGGGTTCAAGGGCTTCTGGGCTTATGGGTTTTAGTGGTTTAAGGGTTTAAGGGTGTTAAGGGTTCAAGGACCTGGTTCCGTGCGGGAATGCAGGAATCAGCAGGCATGTATCCCTAAGATCTCCCTTTAAGGAACCCTGGGGTTTAGGGTTTAGGGTTTAGGGTTTAGGATTTAGGATTAAGGGTGTAGGGTTTAGGGTTTCGGTTTCAGTGAGGTTCTCCTATCGCCAGTGCTGCTGCGCGGATTGGAGCCAGGCATTTCGGTGCTGGTCGGTGGACCCCACAGTCGCTCCCCAGAAGACTCTGTACCACACTTGCTGCGTCTACAGCTACCGGGATCTGTTCAACGGATTTGCCAAAAGGGTCTAGAAGCCCTAAAGGGTAATGATCGACAAACCAATAGAGACATGAAAGAATAATTAATTGAGCAAATAAATAAATTTTAAAAAACACACACATATATATATATGTATGTATATATATATATCCACATGTACATATGTATATAATTCGCAATCAAGAATAAAATGAATTAATACACATATATGTATACATACATACATATATACGACTAAACAAAGTAAGACATAAATCTACACACACACATATATATATATATATATATGGTACCCCCCCCCCCCCCCCTGGAGAATCTACCTCCAGAGGGTGGGGGTTTAACATATCTATACTTTAATCTATTAGCTTGAGTTGTTTTTTTTTTTCAGCCAGAGGGTGGGGGTTTAACATATCTCTATTTTAATTTCTTAGCTTAAGTTATCTTTTTCTTTTTTAAGTCACGGTCTTCGTCCTTGTGTATGTGTAGGATATGATTTCCTATATCATTCTCCTATATGCTGAGAGTGCGGTGTAAGTTTTTTTTTTTTTTAAGTGTGTGTCTTGTTTATAAGCAGTTGGGTTGCTTATAAGCACTGGGGTTGCTTATAAGCAGGATGGAGGGAGGGGGGGGGGGGGTTGGGGGGGTTTGGCCCCAGGACCTCTGAACCACCCCCCCCCCCCTGAAAGATCATCCAAGATGTCCTCATCTTACTCAGTAGAGCCCAAGACCTGTGAACATGAAAATGTTACTGAAGCATTTGGTTAAAGAGTGAGAAGTGTACGTGAACAAGTAGTTGCCATGAAGCGCGTGGGAGCGGTATCGGGCCTCATCTCCTTGGAGAATGGTGTCTGCAAACTTGAATTGGTTCAGAGCTCCTTCACTCCAAGCACTTCCGCATCCACAGCTTCTATGCCTAATCCCTCGTCTCCTCCACCGGTCATCTCTACCATAGTCGAGAAAATCAAGAGTGGCACCCTCGAGACACATCCCACGAAGCAAGACTTGACATTGCGCCAAGTCCAATCACATGTGATCTATCTCCAGCACAAGTTCTCCCTAGCACCAGGAGCCCAGGGCGGCTGGAATCAGTTGGCAGAAGATGCACTTCGCGAGTGGTTGAGAACCAAAAAGCGTGGTGCAGCAGCGAAAGCCAGTTCGTCAAAGCAGGTGCTCGCCATCACAGATGAACCGGGGCGTGCGTCATCACCGGAGGCTACCACATCATCGTCGTCTACCGGCCCGGGCTTATCAACGCAGCCGCTCGCCATCGCAAACGAACCGTCACCACCCTCGGCTACCACACATGAGAACGCACCACATGATACGCCGCCGTCTCCTACCGGCCAAGATTCCTCGTCGAGTTCTTCTTCGTCGTCCTCATCAGACACATCAAGCAAGCCCGACACCGTGAATTACATGGGCTGGGTAAGTGATTGGCATGATTTGGCGGCTTCTTGTGTACATATCTTGCGTGACTCGCAAAACAACCCCAAGAAGCGTAGAATCGCAAAGGACTTGCTTCAGAATATCAATGCCTCTAAGGCAGAGTGGGACTCAAACAAGTAAGCAAAGGAGCCCACACAGCAGATGACATAATCTTCCTTCAGACCGGCTGCCTGCTTTGGATTGCAGTTGAAAACAAAAAGCGCGTGCTTATAAACAGCTCGCTTGCTTATAAGCAGCTCGCTTGCTTATAAACAGCCCATCTGACAGTAAGCCAGCATATATGGTGTCTTGTGTCAGGCTCTTCAGTTAGTTACCTTGGTAGTATAGATTCTTGGCTTCTTTAACTTGCCATGCAAGAGTGTATCGCGATCGCCCAACACACGTACATCAAGTATGTCGACAAGCCCGTCCACGTCGTCGTCCCCACGGGTGAGCACTGCATCTCGGATCTGCCTTTGATTGAAGTGCAAGGAAAGGGGAAGAAATTCAAGGAGTTCTTCCATATCGTTGAGAACGTCACCCCAGAGCACCTAGCACAAATCCGAGAGGTTATGTGTGCGAATGAAATCGTCGTGGGTCGCTTACCCGGCTTTATCAGTCCAGGCGATGCTTTGGGTGAAAGTTGTCACCTACAGCTAGTTGTAGACAGCGCCGCCAACACCGTCCTGCAGTTCTTCCACTCGTCCGTGCCCTTGCCTTGGGGTGTAGTCAAAGCGTTCTGTCGCGGGGGCAGCGTCAAAGTCTTGAACTACAAGATCGCCACCAATTCCGACCTCGTGAAGAGAGGCTTCCTGGTAATGCTTTCCAAGATCAAGGGTGAGCAATGGCTAACACAATCTCTTCAAGAGAAACTTCGCCGCCCACCCAAGGAACGGGGATATGGATGGAAATGCAAGCGGTGGTTCATGGGATGCAACACCCGATGAGCTCCGCGAGGGCATCGCCCACATCAACAAGAATGCGCCCGTGGCGAACTCCAGCAATGAACAGTTCCTGTGGTCTCTACTCAATGTACGTGACAAGGACTCACCTATTTTCGGATGGCCTCTACACATTGTGAGCCGAGCATGCTCCAATCGTAGCCTTGGGAATTCCCAAGCAGAGGCTGAGCATTTCTTCCCCTTGCTGGTCCCCGACTTGAACCCCACCATCATGGACAGGGTCCTGCCACTCGTCGTCCCTACTATGCCCACGCATGGCTTGATGATTCTTGGCAGAGCAGGGATTGGCAAAACTCCTCTTGCCATCATCGTGGCCTTAGCCGTTGCCAGACACCACCTGGCATCTCGCAACATCGAAGGTGTCGTGGTGGGATGGCGCCGATCCAAGCAGATCGACGGATTTCGGGAGTGCCCAGGTGAACTACACATTCCCGTTATCTTGGACGACGCCATCCTTTCTTCTATATCCTTCGAGGACATCAAGTCCTTCCTGGACGTGGGTGAGACATGTCTAGTTGACGCTCGATACCGAGCCGCGAAGTTTGTTCGCAACCAGGTCAGGATTCTGCTTAACAACCAGTGGGAGGAGGATGATGAACCAGATGATCTCTCCTACCACAACAGCATCAGTTGGAAGCAGTTCAAGAAAATGATCTCCTCAGCCCTTGGCGATGCGCCCATGCCCCACATGATGGCAATTCTCAAACGGGCCTCCGTCATCATCGCTGGTCACAAAGGTGTTTACGTCCGTGTCGCCAGTGAGCACCAGTCGCAAACCATACATCGTTTCGAAGGAGGTGGTGTTACCGAAGATTGGCTTACTTCCACCCACAAGAGCTTCTACTCCAAGTACAAGGATGGCATCTATGCCAAGTACAGTGGTTACGAGGAAAAGCTGCAGTTAGAAGCTGACTTCATCGGTGATCTGCTGGCGACCTCTGAAGAAAAGGAGTACATGCGTCGTGGAGCCACATATGACTCATGGGCAGAAGAAGCCGACACAGCACCCGTAGAGTACCCACCTACACCTCGTTCGCGCCCGGCATCATCCAATGCTGCACAGAGTCCCGTCATCAAGTCGCCCCCGCCTAAAATCATGAAGAAGTCCGAGGACGATGATGCAGATGAAGAGGCAGCAAAGGCTATGCACTCAGACTAAACAGTGACATCCAGGTTTATGCTGGTTCGGATCGTAATATGGCATCGACGACACCGCCGTCACTTCGTCCACGGTTTGCTTCTCGACTTCATCCAGCTCAGGGTAGGGTCCATCACTCCAAGAAACATCGCGAATGGTCAAAACGTCGCCAAAATGAAAAGAAGTGCGTGCAAGATGTTGGTGTCATGTGCACTGCTGCCCGCATGTCACGTTTACAGTGCATGGGTGTATGTGGCCTCGTCCAGTCCAGGTTTTTACCGATCAAGTGCTTTCTGCGTCCTTGCCTCCATCTCTTGTCTTGGCCTTTATGCAATGGGAAAGACCACGAAGCCCACCAAGACCTCCAAGAGTGCCGTCATCGCGAAGAAGGGCAAAATGCGTCTGGTTCAGAAACGTGTAGCAGTGATGAAATCCAAGTTGTGGAAAAAATCAGCTACATTCGGGACAAGAATGCAGTGCCTTCTCGTGGACAACGCAAGGAGCAGATCAAGTGGAAGCGAACTCTCCCTGAACTTCTTGAAGCCTCAGATCGTGGGATCATCCGGCTCTTGATTGCGGACAAGATACTTCCAAAGTGGGATGGCAAGCGATGCCCCTCTTGCTCGAAAGGAACCTTGTCAAAGCTGTTCGTCGAAAAGCGAACCGGACTTCTCAAGCATCGATGCAGTAGGAAGACATGTCAGCTGCACATGAACCCCCATCATCTACATCCTCTTTTCATACAGACGCCCGAAACTCAGGCTACGTCGGACCTATGGGTAGGTCTACCCTAGGCCTACGGGTAGCCTATGTACAGGCCTACGTCGAGGCTTTGCGAGGCTGCCTATAGGCCTATCCGTAGGCCTACGAGTGGGCTACTGGTAGGCCTCCCTGTAGGCCTACCAGTCGCCTGTTGACAGGCCTACCAGTAGGGCTGTGGATAGCCTACCGGTAGGCTACAAGCAGGCCTATCCGTAGGGCTATAGGTAGGCTACCGGCAGGCCTACCCGTAGGCCTATGGGTAGGCGACCGGTAGGCCTACCCGTAGGCCTGCGGGCAGGCTGCCGGTAGGCCTATCCGTAGGCCTACGGGTAGGCTACCGGCAGGCCTACCCGTAGGCCTACGGGTAGGCTACCGGTAGGCCTACCCACAGGCCTACGGGTAGGCGACCGGCAGCCCTACCCGCAGGCTTATACGTAGTCGAGGCATAGTAGTAGTGATGATCTCGGGGCTGGGGCTCGGGCACAAAAAGGAGGGCCTAAGAGTCCATGCCTGCGTGATTTCTTTTACGGATGCACATGATGTCTCGGGTCGAGAATTTAGGGAGCAGTTTGACGGGTGCTTTCGTCGTTTCTCGAGTCCTGGGGCTCGGTCCAGGGCCTACGCCCGAGGCCCTGGACCGAGCCCCAGGACTCGAGAAACGATGAAAGCACCCGTCAAACTGCTCCTTAAATTCTCGACCCGAGACATCATGTGCATCCGTAAAAGAAATCACGCAAGCATGGACTCTTAGGCCCTCCTTTTTGTGCCCTAGCC